GGACTGTCAAGTCCATCCGCTAGGTTCCAGGGCCGTTGAATTTCTGAATATGTTGATCCAGTCCTCCGTTTTAATTTTTAAGTGGTCTAGCTGGTTCTACATATGGGCCTCAGGCCCTAAACATCAATTTTCTTGGTCCGACCTACAGTCCACTTAGACCTAGTTGGTTTGGTTGGCCTATTCTTGGTGCATTTTCAAAAATAAAAAATAAAAAAACTGTTTGGTAGCTTTAATTTCTTTGCTCCTCTGTTTTAATTTCTTTCTCCAATGGTTGAATGGTAGTTTTAAAATAAATTTATTATATAGGGATTAGTGTTTGTCTGTCTTACCTCTCAAAAATTAGGAGAAAAAATGACAAATATTACCTTAATGCATTATTTAAAAATAAGGTAATTTAGTTTTTTTAATAAAAAGTTATTGAAACGACGTAATTTTAAGATGATTTTCCTCCTAATATTTAGGAGGTAAGGCTGACAGGAACTTTTTCTTATCATATATCTATAAAAAAAAAAAAAATTAACCATCATTTGACTACATTTCGACCTTTTTTTTTAATGAAGTGTAAAAATTCATTTACCCAATTAAACCGTCATTATACAAACCACCGGCCAGAGTGGCTGCTACATAAAAACAAAACTATTACAGCCTAGACTAGATACATACTTAAAAAAGATAAAACTGTATTTCACAAATCTCTCACAACCCCCAATTCAGTGCACTGTTCTGAGTTAGAGGAGAAGAATACTGCGTGGCAAAGCCCAGAATCCTGTCTCGCACATCCCTCTGAACTTCAGTGATGTATTTTGACCATTTATTTCACATTGATCATCAAGAATCTTAATTCGCTTTACACAATAAGGGACAAATGAATGTTATTGGACTTCTCTGCTCAGAGCATTGTAGGGGAAAGGGTAAAAGGTAGCTTTCGCTAAGTTATATATTTAGCGTCCGTTTGGTACAACTTTTCAAGTGTTTCAGTTTTTGACATTATTTATATTTCATAAGTTTAAATTTTTTTTTTTAAAAACTTATATTTTTAAATATTTTTTTAACTTTAAAAAGATTCTAAATAGTAAAAAATCAAAAGTTTCAAATTCAAATTTTTCATAAACATTTTTTTACTCATTTTTTTTTAATTTTTAAAAGTAATTTTTAAATTTTCCTTCTAATAAAAATTTAAATTTATTACTTATGAACATTACAACAAAAACAAAAGTTCTAACAAACTGCACCATACAGACTCTTAATATGATTGCTAGAACTTTTATGACATTGTGTTGCATTTGAACATGGATTTTGAATTTAAGTAAGCTCTCCTTGATTCTACTAGTCATTATTCGCTGCATTGATGCAGATTTGATGATTTCCAGTATGTTGCCTGTCTTTTATTTCCCATTATCAGTACTGATGTTTCTTCAGAAGGACTGATTTGGCATGTTGTAAGAAAAAAATGACTTTAGCTATTTAGTAGTGAGAATCATAAATTATTGCTGATGACAAATTGACAACTACGATTACTTTACTGTTGTTGTAATTATGTTTTTATAAAACTCTAATTATGTTGCGTACCCTTAAAAAATACAAATTATTTTTTTTTATTTTTATAAAAAATTATTTTTAATATAATATACATTCACTTCCTCAATAAAA